TTGTTTCGACAGCTTTTCTGGTGTTTCAGCTATGATTAATTGAACAGGAACACGTTTAAAAACTGCAAAGTCACGAAATGTAGTCATCAGGATTCACACCTGTGCTGGTAAACCTCAGTTGTTGGTTTTATCCATGAACTTTACTCGGACACAGCTAAAACCTTGACCTGTTTGTTATTTCGAAGAAAGAAGGAAAGGAAGCCGGATGGAAGAAAGGCAAGAACGAAGGAAGGAAGAAAAGTCGGTGGGGGGAAGTAAGGATTTTCTATTAATGACCACAGATAACACAAATTGTTCTACATGGATTTAAATATATTGTTGATATGCTGCAAGAAAAGTGGCAGAAGATGTGTGCCCAGCAGTAATGTACAGAACTAATTTTAAAAAAAAGTCAGAAAACTACTCTAAGAGGTATTAAATTAACAGCAGATATAAACCCAGGGTGACAAAGAGAACACTTCCTATTCTGTTTTGTATCAGTGACAGTGGGATATTTAAGTTTTGCCTCAGAATCTAGAATCAGACTTTGATTTCATCTCCGAAGAAGCATCAGCAATGATTAGCTTCATTACAAATGTATCAAATTATTTGCCTTACATCTCTTAGTTGCTGCAACTACAACAAAACAATTGCTGAATCGAGAATGAGATTGCTCCATGATGAGTTACATCAGTTGACGTTGAACAGCTTGCAGAAGTTTTCCTGGTATTTTATGTTTTAAAACAATCTGCAAGTATGGTGAAAGGACAGAATAACACCTTCTTGAGCTCGTCACGGAACCTGTTCTGGGATACTGCATAAATGAAGACGTTGTTGCAGGAGTTGAGTAGCTGGAACATGTTGGTCATCTCTTGCAAGATGTAGGTTAAGTCTCTGAAATTCAAGTTATTGAAGTATGCATCACCTTTAATCTGCAAGTAAAGGAAATGTCCAACTTCAGTGGCCCACAACAGCAGGAAGCTGAGTGAAATGGCGAACAGCAGAATGATGGATCGCTTACGGTTTGCCATCTCGGGGTCTCCGCCATTCTCAGCACCTTTAAGCTTCCTGCGGACTTTGCTGGTCGCTAAAATGTGTCTTACTGTCAGGACATTGAGCAGCAGGATAAGAAGAAACGGGAGAAAAGGGGTTAAGATGTGCTCCATCCAGTCATAGGCCTGCCAGATGGGTAAAGTATAAAAGATAGACTTTATGCCACAGAACCAGGCTACACCATCCAGGATGTAGAAGGGTTTGTAGATGATGTACAAAGGGAAATTTTTGACACAACTTAGGAAAAAGATTGCTCCTATAACCAATTGTGCAGTTTTCTCTGTGCAGTATCTGATCTTCAGGCTCTGAAAGCAAATGAACACAAAACGGTCAATGGTGAAGGCCGCAGTTAGCCAGACTGAGCCATCACGGCTGCAGCGAACCAAGATTGTGGTCAGCCTGCATACAGGGGTGGTGGACAGGACACTGTAGCTAAAGTAAATGCGGCTGATCCGGTTGAGGATGCACCCGGTGATGATAACAAGGAAATCTGTCACGGCTATGGCCATCAAATAGTAGGTGATGCACCTGGAGAGTCCGCACTGTCCTCTGAATAGGATTACAGTTGCCACCAAGTTCGCTGTGAAAGACAGACAGTTTAATGGATTACTCAAGCATGAAGTGTAACGAATGGCATTACGTGAATGTTATCCAGATAGATATTACTAAGTGGGCCCCAACCACTTGCTACTGCCTCACCCTATCTGACACTGGAACCCTCCTGATCCATTACAATGGCACGTCCATTGTGCCGACTATCCAAAAGTCATTGATAATTGTGAGTAGAATAGTCCAAAACATTCCTTATTGATACCTAAAACCATTGATCTCTGTATGCCTCTGCTCACTGACTCACACAGTGACAATTTCTCGGCTTTAATAACCTCATTGTGCATATTATTAAAGACCTCGTCAATTTGCTACGCCCTACTTTTCAGCGTCCTATTATTATCTGAAATTTCAAAGTCTCTCCAATTCTACTCTCTTGTTCATTCCTGATATTTAACATTCCAGCTGTGACGGTTAGTTCTTTAACTATCGAGGTGAAATTTCTGCCCTCAATGGCCCAGTCTCTATTCCCTTCTTCAGATCACTCCTTATATTCTAACTTTTTATCATCATCTTCCTTGTCTGCTTCAAAATCTCTTTGTATCGTTCAGTGGAAAATCTGTTTGTGAAACCTCCTGTGAAATTTCCCACCATTCAAATTGTAGTGTCAGAAGAAATAAAGCAACTCATTGTGCTCAACTATAAAGCAGAGATGAAAAGAAAGGGTGAACTTTACAGTAAAAACACATCTTCTTAATGAATAATTAAGTCAATTACCCAAAATAATTATCACGTGCAAAAGAAAAGCCAACAGCATCAGCCAAAATCCTTAATAGACTAAAATCAATTTTATTTTTATTCATTTCTGCAAAAAGTGAAAATAATTAATTCCTAAGACCATTCGAATCAGTTTCACAATTGTATCATGGAATCCTTACATTGGGGACACAGGCCATTCGGCCTATCTCGTCCACACTGACGCTCTGAAGAACATCCTATCCAGACTCAAACTTATCTCTCTAACCCCGCATTTCCGTTGGCTAATCCACCTAGACTGCACATCCCTGGACACTATGGTCAATTTAGCATGGACAACCCACCTATCCTGCATATCTTTGGACTGTGGAAGCAAGCTGGAGCAACCAGAGGAAAGCCACCTGGACACAGAGAGCACATGCAAACTCCACACAGACTGTCGCTCAAGGGTGGAATCTAAACCAGATCCCTGGCACTGTGAGGCAGCACGTGTTAACTGAGCAATTAACTACTTCATGAGTTTGCATTGCAGATTATTTTAATCCCTGTACATAATTGTTGATTGCATTGCATACATCACAATGAGTATCCTATAGAAATTCATTCTTCGATATATAGAAAATAATGGTGAGGTAGTCCATTCGGCCCATTGATCTTGTTCCATTATTCACCTTGGTCATGGCTGATCGTCTACATCAATGTCAAAACAATCAGATCAGTGCAGGAAAATGTACTTTATTGCATGGCTACACCATGATTAGATATGGCATCAAATCTCTGGAATTTATTTTATTTTGAAATATTTTGAAAGATTACCGTTCAGACAATGCTATCTGTCACATTACATACTTTCATAATGAACTAATATAAATGTGTGACATCATACATTTAATATAATCTTGCATTTCTCTGTAAGTGAAAGCAGTGCGCTATAATTCACCCCAATGAAGTATAGCAGGCAATATACTACAATAAATAAATGATAATACCATGCTTATTTCCTCGCTTTATCTCCCTTTCATTTAGAGAGGGCTAAATCTAATAAAAAATGGAAAGGAGAAAAGATAGGTTTTGTGGAGATTTGCAAATAAGTAAGTACTTCCTTTGCAATTCATTTCTTACCTGGGATTCCAACAACAGCGATAATAGGATAGCTAATGGCATAGAAGAGTCCTTTCACTGGCCCGTGCATGATCCGTTAGAAACTAATGTAATTCTCCAAGCTGCACTGGTTAGCTTTGCAACAGATTCAAAGTTTTCCTCATTTATTTTGTCTGAGAGTCTCCAGAGGAGCAATTAAATAGCATCATACAACTCAATTTCAGATCAATGAACAAACAGATGAATGCACTCTTATTTGTATTATTGACAAGAGAAAGGTTCTATTATGTTTGTGGACAGACTACTGACAGTGAATTCTGTGACCCTGTCCTCCATATTCATGCTCAGCGTGTCCATCAAAGTGCCTGACAGCAAATACAGACCAGAGATCTTATTTCGAACCCAATGCAGTCTCTTCTCATCATTTCGACCAGATTCCTAATGATTTCGGCATTTAAAACGTCAGATTAAGTCATATATTTAGCTGATTCGTGACCTTACTTTAATGTTTAGATTTACATTTGAACAGTTGCAAATAACTGTTGGTAAAATTGGATGATTATTTGCATGGAACTAAATGAGCCAACACAGCAAATTCTGTGTGAAGTGTGAAATGCGGAACACTTGGAGTCGTAGAATAATAGTAATACAGCATGCGAAGAGGCCCTTCGGCCCAAGTTGACCGTCGTGACTGTTTGTGTGTCTTACCAAAACATGCAGAAAATAAATCGGAATGATCGTGAATGAAGTCCGAAATTCTAGTGAAGGAACAATAGGGAAGTATCTTGCTTTAACATGGAGACAAAGGTATGGGGAACATTGATTGAAACGCGACTTAGAAATAAATGCACCAGCTGGAATGTTAATAACAGAGAGAGAGACTAATTCCATGAGACACTAATGTCGCTGTCTAAGCTAATATTTGTTGCCATCCCCAATCGTTATTTAGACAGGGGTGATGAACCAATGCAATCCATTTGGTTTAAGTACCCAGAGAATGTCCTTGCAGGGAGAATTTGACCCAGGAATGCTGAAGCAACAGGGATATATTTCAGAATCAGGTTGGTTAAGAGCTTGCAGGGGAATTAACAGGTGGTTGTGTTCCCAGGTATTCTAGGAAGAAAGCTGTCCTGGGTTTGGAATGTGTTATCAAAAGAGCATTTGATGAATTTCTGCAGGGTATTTTGTCGATCAAACACACAACTTCTTGAGTAAAAACACAGTAGTGCGGTTGCTGGGAATCTGGAAGTAACCAGACTGTGCTGGAGAAACTCACCAGGTCGTCTAGCATTTATGGAAAGAGAAACAAAGTAAAAGTTTCAAGGTTCTGAGGAAGGGTCAAGCGGCCTGATACAGTAACTCGGATTTCTCTTCACAGATGCTGCCTGACCTACTGAACTTTTCCAGCAATTTCTGTGGTTTCTTTCTAATTTACAGCATCCACAGCTTCTTTTCGGTTTCTCAAGTTTCATGGCCGCTCTGACTCTTCTTTAGACGGTGCTGCTGTACATTGGTGGAAGAGTCGAGAATGCTTGTGAAAACAATGCCAACACAGTAGACTTCTTTATCCTGTATGTTGTCAAGATTCTTGTGTATTGTGGGAGCCGTACATTTATACAGAAGTATGGCATTTTCCACCATATGCCTGACTTGTACCTTTGAGATAGAGAACCGTCTCTGTGGAGTCAGGTGGTGAGTAATTCCCTGCACAATTTCTAGTCTCTGACTTCCACTTGAGATTACTGTATTTATATGAGTAGCCTAGATCAGTTTCTGGTCAATGTGGACTTCGTCTACACCCCAGAGTTCTAAAGGAGATAGCTGAAAAGATAGTGGAAGCGTTAGTGGTGATCTTTCAGGAATTGCTAGAGTCAGGTAGGATCCCAGAGGACTGGAAAATCGCTACCGTGACACCCTTGTTTAAAAAGGGAGTAAGGCAAAAGACAGAAAATTACAGGCCGATTAGCCTAATCTCGGTTGTGGGTGAGATTTTAGAGTCCATTGTAAAGGATGAGATTTTGAACATTTGGAAGTATATGGAAAAATAGGGCAAAGTTAGCTTGGTTTCATCAAGGGGAGGTCATGCCAAACAAATCTGCTAGAATTCTTTGAGGAAGTAACGATCAGGGTAGACCAAGGAGAACCAATGGATGTTATCTACCTGGAGTTCAAATAAACCTTCGACAAGATGTCACACAGGAGGCTGATGAACAAGATAAGGGCCCATGGTGTTAGAGGCAAGGTGCTAGCATGGATAGAAGATTTGCTGTCTGGCAGAAAGCAGAGAGTGGGGATACAAGGGTCTTTCTCAGGATGGCAGCCGGTGACAAGTGGTGTTCCACAAGGGTCAGTGCTCGGGCCACAACTTTTCACTTTGTACATTAATGATCTAGGTGAAGGAACCATGGGCATTTTGGCTAAGTTGCAGATGATGCAGAGATAGGTGGAGGGACAGGTAGTATTGAGGAGGTGGGGAGGCTGCAGAAGGATTTGGACAGGTTAGGAGAGTGGGCAAAGAAATGGCACATGGAATACAACGTGGGAAAGTGTGAGGTCATGCACTTTGGTAAGAAGAATAAAAGCATGGACTATTTTCTAAATGGGGATAAAATTCAGAAGTCTGAAGTGCAAAGAGACTTGGGAGTTAGAGTCCAGGATTCTCTCAAGGTAAGCTTGCAGGTTGAGTCAGTAATCAGGAAGGCAAATGCAATGTTGGCATTTATTTTGAGAGGACTTGAATATAAAAGCAGGGATGCACTACTGAGGCTTTATAAGGCTCTTATCAGGCCACATTTGGAGTATTTTGTGCAGTTGTGGGTCCCATATCTCAGGAAAGATGTACTGGCCCTGCAGCAGGTTCAGAGGAGGTTCATGAGAATGGTCCCAGGAATTAAAAGCTTAACAAATGAGGAACATTTGAGGACTGTCGGACTATACTCATTGCAGTTAGAAGGATGAGGGGGATCCAATTGAAACTTACAGAATACTGAATGGCCTGGACAGAGTGGAAGTTGGGAAGATGCTTCCATTTGTAGGAGAGACTAGGACCCGAGGGCACAGACTTAGAGTAAACGGAAGACCTTTTAGAATGGAGATAAAGGAGAAACTTCTTCAGCCAGGGAGTGGCGAATCTATGGAATTCACTGCCACAGAAGGTGTGGAGGCCAGGTCATTGAGTACATTTAAGTCTGAGATGGATAGGTTCTTGATTATCAAGGAGGTCAAGGGTTACGGGGAGAAAGCAGGAGAAGAGGGTTGAGGAACTTATCAGCCATCATTGAATGGCAGAGCAGACTTGATGGGCCGAATGGCCTAATTTCTGCTCCTATGTCTTATGGTCTTATGGTCAATGGTAAGACTCTGAATGTTGGTCGTGAGAGATTCAGTGACGATAATGCAATAGAATGTCAAGGGATGATTGTTACATTTGGTGCAAAATTATATTCTCTCCTGTTCTCTAATACTGCATACAGCAAGGAAAGAAGATCCGAAAGTCCATTGTTTCCACACTGGTCATCACACATCCAATTATTTTAATCTCATTTTCCAGTAATTCCAATAATTAACACTTAGTCCATAACCTAGGACATTTCAAGAGCTCATTCAAATACATTTTTCCTGTTCCTGCCATTCTTATATGCAGTGGCTTGCAGATGCCCTCTGGGTGATTTTATTTGCTCAAATCCGCTCTAAACCGTGGCTCAATGGCTATCCCTGTTGCCTTACAGTGCCACGGACCTGGGTTCGATTCCACCCTCAGGCAACCGTCTGTGTGGAGTTTGCACATTCTCTGCGTGGGCTGCTCCAGTTTCCTCCCATCGTGCAAAGATATGCAGGCTAGGTGGATTGGCCATTCTAAATTGCCCATCGTGTTCGGGGATGTGTAGATTAGGTGGATGGGTCTGAGTGGGATATTCTGAAGGTTGGTGTGGACTTATTGGGCTGAAGAGCCTGTTTCCACACTGTAGGGATTCGATGATGATAAACCTTCTGATTCTTACTCTAGAATTGATCCCCTGGGTTGCTAAAGGGAAAGGTTAATCTTATTTTCCTTGTCCCTGTTATCGTAAATTTCATGTGCCTTAATATGTACTTAATTACGATTAATTGGAATTAAGTTTAGATTCGTAGCAATGAGAAACTGAATTACATGTGCACGCTCATAGGGAGATACACAGACATACACACGGAGACTGTGGAGCTCTGAGTAACCAAATATGCAGAAACAAAGCTGTCACCAGTCATGTTTAATAAGTTTTTGTTCCCCTTGCAGCCTTATATTATCATCTTGGTGAATGAACACGTTTTCGATTTCCAGCATCCGTAGTATTTATCTTTTAAGTAGTGTATTTGTGCTAGTGAGTTACCCTTTTTCCTCATTGTTTGTGAAGTTTTTAATTCGATTTGTGTTGGATACCAGAGCGAAGCTGATTGTAAAATGACGGCAGTGAACAGGTAAATATGAAATCCAGAAAAAAATGTTGAAGAGAATGGATAGTAATATTTGAAACATGGTATAGCTCAGAAGTGCAAGTTCGGACCATAAGATAAATGAGCAAAAATAGTCCACTCAACCCATTAAGTCTGCTGCACCATTCAATCCGCCTGATATGTTTCTCAAACTCGTCCTCCTGCCATGTTTAATTTTTGATCCCCTTAATAATCAAGAACCTATATATCTCTGTCTTAAGCACACTCAATAACTTAACCTCCACAGCTTTCCACAGAAATAAGTTCCGCCGATTCACTAACAACGAGCTGAAAAGAAATCTCCTTATCTCAGTTCTAACATGTCTTCTCTTCTCTCTGAGGCTGTGCCCTTGGGTCCCAGTTACTCTTAAGAGTGAAAACATCTTCTCCATATCCACCCTATCCAGACTTCTCAGTATTCTGTAAATTTCAATAACTTCTCAACTGATCCGTCTAAACCCCATTGAGCACAGACCCAGAGTCCTCATCCGCTCCTCATATAACAAGCACTTCATCACCCAGGATCAATATTATAAACCTTCTTTAGAGTCCCTACAAGGACAGTACATCCTTCCTTAGATATAGTAAGCAAAACTACTCATAGTATTCAAATGCAGTGTG